TGTCATTTCGTAGTCACTTAATGGTTCTATAACGAAAAGAAAGCAATGTGATAATTTATGTTAGTTTAATATTTTTTTAATAATTAAAAGAGTTATATGTCGTTTTTGTAAACAACAAGAGTTTTTTTCCTTTTATATTTTTAGCCCTATTATTTATCACTACTTATTTAGTCACAAAGGTGTCAATTACACTATACTGAGGAAAAAGTTCCATGACCGTATTTGAAGGGTAGAGATTAGGCAAAAGTAAAGACTAAAATTAATTTAATTTACAATAATATAAATTACTACTAATTTAGCTCATTGATGTGAAAGCAAGTATTGTTTCAAACTTAACAATCAATATTTTTCAATTTTTGTTGAGTGGTCCCAAATAAGTACCCTCCACACACGAACTCCTTGACTTTTCCTTCCAAGGAGGGAAAATGAGTACAAGAGTAGGGTCGATGATGGGCACTTGATAATGAAAAAGAATTAACATTGCGTCTTCCAAAATACAGAGACAGTTCATCAAGATGTGAACATATAATGATCAAGTACATAACAACAACTATATATAACTAGTTATAGTAAACCTAAATAATGTTGTGATTTGTATGTATAAAGATTTTGGTTTTATGTGCGGTGGTCAAGTATCGGATTCACACAGACCCTTCATCACTATCGTCCTGATCATTTGTCACAAATCAAGATAGGCAAATGGGGTCCTTGATTTTGATGTGTTTGGTTGAGCCATACCCATCATTCTTATTCTTTTTAGGAATTCAAGAGTTTTCTAAATTCAACTATATGAAGCACTTGATTGGGAACTACAACCAAAATATTAAACCATTATTGCTTTTTTCAAACCCCACTATTCAATTTTCCTCAAAATTGTGAAAAAGAGCGAGTGCAGTGTGTCTTTTTCATTTTTTAAACAAATATCTTTTTATGGCCACCATTATCATTCGTATCCAAATTCACTATAATGCATCAAATATTCGATCTGAATTTGACAATGATGTGCATTTTAAAAAAAAAACTATTTTGAATTTCACACACTGTTTTTTTTTCCGTAAATATTTAGAATTTCACTCTTCTTAATTAACAAGGAAAACCAACATTTCAATGTGGAAATAACAAAAATCCCATGCGTGTTTAGAACTTTATGTTTGGGCTGAATAATGGGACTTGACAGCCCAAGCCAGCCCACCCATGTCTTTTCAGTTTTACAGTCCATTGATTGCCAATGTGAGTGGGCTGAATATTTAATGAGGAATCCCATTGCCAAAATTCAGAAAACACCCCGCAGTAGTGTTTTCTTGTGCGTGAGAGAGACTACATTGTCTATGATGGATGTCACGTCATTAATTTAAATATTAAAGGTTAATTTTTAATTTTTAATTTTTAATTTTTTTTACTTGGCAATGGTTAGTAGGGTTATCTCCAATGGACTCTTTAAAATTAACCTCTCTGAATTTGTTACATCAGCATTTTTCAATTGTCACGTCAGCATTTTTCATAAACACGTCAGTATTTTAGAGTCTCTAAATTTTAGTTATCACATATACTTCAATGGTGCATTTTCACTCTCCAAAAATATTAATATTTTAATATAGTTTTTAAATTTTTAATAAATTATTTTTTTCTATTTGTTAGGGAAAAAAAAGTGTTTGATTAGCCAATATAGCCATTAAGGCACTGTTTGGGTCAGCCAAACAGTACCTAAAACGACTATAATGTAAATAGGAACATTAAAATTTTTGAAAAGAAAAAAAATTCACTTTTTTCTAATTTTTTAAAACTTTTTTGGACCTAAAAAAGCCTTTAAGGCACCGTTTATGTCAGCCAAATAGTGCCTTAACAGTTCTTTAGTTCAATTATGTTGAAGAAAAAAAAAGGCCAAAGAATGCAAAAAAAAGACTGACTTTTAAAATTTTCTTTCACTGCCAAACATGCCCTTAAATGTATTATGGATCGTTGTGTTGTTCGGCACAAAAGTTAAAAATCAAAAAACTGGGCGGGCCTGCAAGTCATGAGCCTGCAATCGCTAACTAGGTTGCCGTTTTTGACGACCCATTCCGCGACCCAAAACATGGGGCCCATTTTTGGAGATTCTATTGGAGCAATCCAATAGGTAAAAAAAGCTCATAATCTCTAAATTATGAGTCGTTGGAGATACTCTTAGGTAGTTAGAAGTTAAAAAGATAAGAAAAATGATGCTGATGGAATTTCGAACATGAGTCAAAGGTCCAAAATAATACACACCCTACCGCTAGGCTAACACTACACTTGCAATACTAAAGGTTAATAACAACCTCAGTCGAAATAAGAAACATGAAAAGTAATAGAAAATAAATAAATAAATAAGGAGATACAATTGACAAACCGACATTACAGTAACCAGACCCTGTATGGTTTCAAAAAGAACCCTGGGCTAAATTTGGGATGTAATTAGGCCAAACTTGACCCAAGCCCAGATACAAGGAACCCAATGTCTATAAACAAACAAATCGCTCGGGTTGCCAGGTGCAAATTGGGGATGGCACTGATAGTCCTCCACTTGAAACTCATTCATCCCACTTGTGCTTCACATCGCGTGTGCAAAAAATTTATAATTATGTAAAAATTACTTCTGTTTGTTTAAATGTAAAATATTTTTTAAAAATTATTTTTTTTTATTTTTTGGTATTTGGTTTTTGTAAAATATTTACAAAAAAAAATATTAAAATTTAACAAAAATAATTTATCCATTAATTTTCGACAAATTATTTTACATATTCTGCCTGATGGACTCGAATTCAACCTTGACGTAGACTTTTGCCCAAATACCAAAAAAGTAAAAATAAAAGAATATTTTACCTGAAAAAAAATATATTTTCTAAGAAGAATATTTACGTCGAAACAAACGGAGTCTAAGTTGTTATTTTAAGGTGTTGCACTTGGTCATGAGGTTGTTACACTATTATGTAATACGTTGCACTAGCGATACAAAACGTAGCACGACATGAAGCGGCACCATAGATAAATTGGGGTTCAAATATGTAACTTATATATCTAATCTCGACTTTCTTCTCTAAATCTTATTAGCATCCATTCTTAACCGTGTATAATACACATAAATGGGATAGGACAAATAATTGTTAACCTTAGATACAACAATTACAATGATTTTATCACTAAGACCATTGGTCAAGATGGTATAACATCTTTTTCCTTAAACGAAATACGAACACATTTTATTTGTGTGTAAGTAGCAACCTTTCGATCCGAACTCTCTTTTTCGGTAGTTATATATTTCACTTCATCCAATACAAAAAAAACATTGTAATATAACTTTATAATCACCTTTCTCACTTTTGATCTACTTATAATGCAGTTTTAAAAATTTTAAATTTTAATTTCATTCAAAATCTCTCCTGAACTAAAATAAGCAACTAAAGCTGCTTTTAATAAAATCGTTTTTAAGTCACTGAAAAACAATTCCAAACGAGCTCATACATACATACATATATATATATATATATACACATATATGTGTGCATGCATATACCGTTTTACAGGAGAGATTGTGTATAAAATTACAAATAGATGCTAATTATTAATTAACTGCATGCTTAAGTGCATCCAACAATGGTTATAATTATTAAGCAATGTATCAGCCAAGTAATCTCTCAACAAATTCTATGACGACTTGATGATATAGACCTAATAATATAATTGAGTTCCATAAATTAATTACCAATATAATATATCATTTTAAAAGGAAGCGCTCAACCACTTCATGTAATATAAATTACATTATTTATTCAGACAACAATACCATGTGAATAATTCACTCAACCACTTCAATTTCTTCTCATATACTATCTCTTTTCTTCTTTCTAATTTTTTTTTTTTTTTTTTTTTTGGCTCTGCCCCTACAAAATGAGTAATATTTGGTGTTATCTAATGATTTTTATAACTAACGTAAGTTGATGTGTGGCGTTCATACATCTCTATTAATTGTAAACGATTCAGTGGGATGAATATAATAATAATAATCTATGAGGTGGAATGGTTTTAGTATGGTTTTAAATTATAATTAATTAATAATAGTTTAAGTGTCGCTGTATCATCATATATGATTTTTATTGTTTTCTTCCACAAGGGGTCCATTAACGCATTTCTTTCTTTTATATATTTATTTATTTTCCCTCTACCATATCTTAGTTTGCTTTATGTTTTTTCATAATATATATAGGTGGTTGAGTCAATGTGTCTCTTTCTTTTGTTGCATTTAGTGAGAGCAGGCACCTAATTAATAACATATTGGGCCATCCATAGAAATGGATAACATTGCGATGCTACTTGGAGACGCAATTCAACTAGGTGCGGACAATAATACAATTAATAAAGAGAATTTACAATATTTATTTTTTGTAAAACTGTAATATGGGACTTTGGAAAGAAAACAAAAGGGTTGGCAGTGGCCAAGACAAAAAGAATCTTTCAAGTTCATATGAGTGGTTGGCAGACAGCCTTTCCCAGCTTCCACAGTGGTAGTAGATAGAAAATGTTGGGTTTGAAAATGTAGAATTAATTCATGCTTTCAATTGGGGATTAGAGAAACTTTATTTTAAGGTTGTAATTATTATTATTATTATTATTATTTTATTTATTTATTTTTTATTTTTTTTGAATTTATATACTGAAAGAGGATGTAATCGCTTCCAAGAAAAGAAAAGAAAAAAGAAAAATACAAATTACTTCATATATAAAACTTCAAAAGCATTAATTACATGAGAAAAAGTAAGATGAACATAAATTTAAAAGATTATAAAAATTTGTACTAATTTTAAATATATATATTTTTTTTATAATACAATTCTTATTTACATTCTTGATGCATGCTTTCATTAAGTTTATATTCTTATATTTATTAAATTATTAACGAGTTGACGTGCCATTCATGCAATTTCATAATTATAAAGGGCACTAGTTTAATGAAAATGTGAATTTTTCTTATTCTAAATATAATAAAATATAGAGTGCATAACCTAAAAGAGAAATAGGAAATATAACTTAAAAAGTAAAAGCTGATATGAATGAAAAAAAATAAAATAAAAAAAATAAAAAAAATCGAACAAAAGAAAAGAAAAGAAAAAAAGAGTGGGTTTGTTCCTGCCATTTGATTTCCTAGTGCACTTGCATTTAATTTCCTTCAAAACGAAACCAAAGCTTGACTTGAGTATGATAAGAGCGTCAATGGTCTTAAAATGAAGTAATATTTATGCTATGTTTGGAGCATTTAATTAACTAGATAAAAATAAAAAATAAAAAATAAAACAAATAGAAATAAAGAGAAAAAATAAAAAGAAAAGAAGTGGGACTCAGATTCTCTCCAATTGAGACGCACACAGTTCCTCCTATTTAATCCCCACACATTGCTCCTCCTTTTTCGTGGCATGCAAGTCCTGTGATCCTGTCGTCGTACGTCTCTGCGCTCGAATAAAGCAAAAGAAGCCAAGAAATTACGGAAATTAACACAAATACAGCATTCATGCCTTTTATTGAAATCCAAACCTATTTCTCAGGACTCTTTCTACTTTCTCTCTCTAGACGCATATACTGTACACTGTCTCCTTCATTTTTATGTCCATGACTCGAAAGTCTTGGACTCTCTCTCTCTACTTTCTCGCTACAAAAGTAAATATTGAAAATGCGGTTTGCCTTCCATGAAAGGGAATCGCTTCCAAGAAAAGAAAGAAAATCTTCCGCATTATCCTTTACGACGATGTCTTCCATTCACCATCTCTCTGTTCTCTCTCACTACTGAAAAGATCTTCCTAGAAAATTCTACGTATACCTGTATATATATGTAAATCTTTTTTGCCAATCTTGGAATCTTGACATATAATAAGCTGATTAGTTAAATAATTCTGCATTTGAAGTCATATTTACTGATTACTGATTTGTCTTGAAGCCACAATGGCGTCGAGACTAAGATCGACACCAAAGAAATCGACTTCAAAAACAGCGAACTCGCTTTCGTCGTCGACTACGTCCTCTACCAAACAGTTTCTGGAAACATCAGTTGACGGTCTGAGTTCACCGGCGTCGTCATCGGCGAGAAGTAAGCCGCAATACTTTTACTCCGAGAGTTTGGATGCAGAGAGATCAACAGAGAATGTAACCGTTACCGTTCGGTTTCGGCCACTCAGGTGCTTTTAATTTTTTTGCATTGGGTTTAATTTGTCGTCAATCTTGCAATTCTCGAGGTGTTCATGGCCTTCGAGCAAATTTGTTTGCAATTCTTGAATCTTTTGCTGTTAATTTGGCCGTGGTTTGTGTTTGGAGTAGTCCTAGAGAAATTCGACAAGGAGAGGAGATTGCATGGTATGCCGATGGAGAAACCATTGTGCGGAATGAGCATAATCCATCCACAGCATATGCATTTGGTACGCTACAACAATCTTGGCCTTAATGGATGATATTGAACGGAACATGGTAATTTATTTATTTATTTTTATCCTGAGCATGGGATTGATTGTCAATCTTTTTGGTGGCTTGGATTTAATGGATGGGTACCCGGAGAAAACCTGGAGAATATATATATATATATATATATATATATATATATATATATATTTTTCCAATTGCCTATGTGGTGGTGGTGGTGGTGGTGTTATTATTTGTTTTTATACAATTAAATTATTCACACAAGTTATTTGGATCAATTATGTAATCAGTCTATTAGGTTTCTTTCTGGTTGATGTTGACAATTTTAGTACTTAGCAACTATATTTAATTATTTAGGACCTATTCAGTCCCCTTACATTCCAGCTGCAGATCATTGAGATTTTAACAATACATGGATACGAGTGCTATCGTGCTAAAGAAGTCCTGGAAAGTGTGCAAACCTAAAGAGGCATTGATGTGATAGGGTTTTATTTTGAAAGTTCTTCTATGAAGTTTTTGCTTAAAATGAACATATTGTGTATTAAAAATTTCCAATGTTTATTCAGCTTCTTGTACCTATGCGTTGTTGTTACTATTTGTTTTTCTATGTAAGTTCTCTAAATGTTATCCTTTTCTTTTTCAACCCAATTGTTCAGCATTTATTTGAAATATAAAATGCTTGTACAAGACAAGCTAATGATCTGACTAACATTTGAATTCTCCTTTTTTCCTTTCAGATCGGGTCTTTGGCCCTACTACTACCACACGTCATGTATATGATGTTGCTGCACAACATGTCGTTAGTGGTGCTATGGAAGGCATCAATGGTAAACAATATTATTCTTTGGCTCATTCAGATGCATATGAATGCTTCGGATCATGCTATTTAATAGGATTGCGGCTAATTAAAGGACACCTTATCTTTTAACTGTTCAATTATTTTCTTTGATTATAACTATATGGTATGCTCTATTCATATCAACATAATATTTGATGGATCATATCATATCAAAATTGATCCTCGAGTTACTTGTGATGTTGTACCATCAATAACATCATTTTCCTTATTAAGCTCATACTTGTTTGTTTCACTGTGGCATGTTGTGTAGGCATCTTGGCCATGTCTATGCAGTTGGGGCGCTTGAGCGTGTGCAACTAGGTTTTGATAGTGGATATTTTTAACCGATTTTAATTTATGTTACATTAGGCAGTTTGGTAGGTTTTGTCAAGTTCTCCATATTATAAGGTTCAATTATCCGGTAAACAGTATCTGGACCTGCAATATTTCTTTTATAGGGCTCGTAAGCATTTGTGCCTCTTCAAATGAGCTGCCCCAGCTGGAATGCCCAAGGACCAGTGTCATGCACAGCCCTGGGTGTTGTCTTTACTATGAAGACCTAGTGTTGTCTCTGTGCTGACATCTTTACCACAATGCCCTGAAATTAGGGACACACTTATTGCATGGAAAGATTGTTTATGGGCCAATTATTTCCTTAAAGATTTTGATAAATTTTTTTCCCCAATAAAAGCAATTTTGTTGAAAAGTATTAATGTGGCCATTGTTTACAGTTAACTTCATTTATGCTTTCTTTTGATATCAGGCACAATTTTTGCTTATGGTGTGACAAGCAGTGGGAAGACTCACACGATGCAAGTAAGAATTATTTCTTTTCTGTATGCTTAGGCATTTTGGGAACCAATATGAATTTGAGGTACTTTTTTTTTCCCATTTCACTGAAAAGTTTTTTTTTTTTTTTTTTTGGTTGAGATATTCTGCCTTTTACATATTAGAGTCACATTTCCGTTTTTGATGATGTCATTCTAACTGCTTAAGCTCATTCTGTCCTCCTCAAATGTTGCAAAAGTGAAAAACAGATCCTTAGTCACTAATCACTATTAGTGTGATGTACTGAGATCTTCGGAAATGATTGATAATCCTTTACTGTTCTATCTATAGAACACAAGGATTATGTGAAGTGGATTTTAATGTAGCATTCGAAACATAAAATTGTTATCAAGGCACTCGTTTTAATAATAATTTCTTGCTCTCGCTCACTAACCTTTCCCAAGGTGCCTATGATGTTGTGGCCCAAATTTGGTGCCGGGTCTCAACGATGGCCCATTGGATGAGCTTTGTGTAGGCCCAAGCCCCTAATTGGTACTTTCTTGTAGCCCGATATATAAGGGTGTATAGGGTTTGGAGTGCATTATCGAGAGACTGAAAATTGTACAGAAAGAGAGTAAGGGGCTGAAACTTGTAAACTCCAATTTTATACATAGTGAAGACTTTCGCTGGATCTCCATCGTGGATGTAGGCTTTGCCGAATCATGTATAAATCTTTGTATGTAGTGTGTTTACTTTTATGTCATGTTTCATGATTGTTACTTGGGTTGTCATAACAGTGCCTTTATTGAAATACATTTCGGGGGTTTTCTTCTTTTTTCTTTGTTAATAGTTAGTGGATATTGGAATTCATGGATGATGAGATAATATTTATATGACAGAAAACATATAAGGCAAAATTTTGACAGCTGAATGTTAATTGTTGTTTCAAACTACAATTAAAAGCTAGACAAGTCATGAATCTATGTTGCGGGAAAGTCCTGAGTTACGGCTTACCTCGAAGATTTGAAGTTTCGACCAAGATGATGGATCTAGGGTGCTGTGAGAAGTTGCATGCTAGACCTGTGGATAAGTGTTATGGGTTCTCGTCCCACATCGTATCCGGATGGGGAGGGTCTTAGGCTTATAAAGGCAGGTGGGCAACACCACCTAACAACTTAAGTTCTTAAATCGGAAGGCAAGTGCTAGGCCTAGCCTAAAAAGTGGTATTAGAGCACATCCAGTCCTTGATTCGTTGTCATGCCAAGCGTCCACACAGAGGGCTGGTGAGTTTAGGTGGGGGAGAATGTAATAGGTTCTTGTCCAACATTGGATCCAGATGGGGAGGTTCTTGGACTTATAAGGGTGGGTAGGCAGAACCACCTAATAGCTTAAGCCTTTGGGTCCAGTGGCAAGTGCCTGGCCCGTTACAATAAATCTGTAATCCACAAATAATTGTCTAGGTATTTCCAATGGCCATTGACCTTTGACTAGCTCACTGAAAGAGTCAAGTTCCATACTTGTCAATTTTTTACTATTAGTTAGGCCTGTAATGTGATCAGAAATCAGAATTGATCGACATCAAGTTAAATCCAATTTTAACTACTGAGGAATTATATTTTCATCTGTAATCTGGTGGATTTTAATAAATAAACTTTGAATTCAAACTTGTTCTGCATGTATCGCACCCAGAGTATTGTCACTTGATTTCACTTAACCATAGAAAATATTACGAAATGTTGGTGTGAAAAAAGAAAATATATTCTCTAACAGTAAAATCGTTCTTGTTCTTCCCTCTTTAAAATTTTTGTACCTAGATCATAGGGCTGAGTAGCATATAAAGAGAGAAATGAGATAGAAAATCCATTGCGAATGAAATGAGAAGTTCAGAAATTCAGTTAACAAAAATAAAATGACATAATGACATATATTAAGCCATGATGAGTTGTATGTTTTATAGTGACATTGGAGCTGCTAGTTTGGGCACAAAAATGTTTTCGATGTGCTTATGTTGGTTATAAACGTGACAGGGCGATCAGAGGTCCCCTGGTATTATACCATTGGCTGTAAAGGATACTTTCAGTATCATTCAAGAGGTATTTCATATGAGTTAGCCTCCAGTTTAATGTTTATTAAAGATTATAGTTATTAACAAACTGATTAGTCTGAAATTTTATTTATTTCCCAGACTCCAAGCAGAGAATTTCTCCTTCGTGTCTCATATTTGGAAATCTACAATGAGGTTAGCATCTGGAAATTCACTTATCCTATTTACTTAAGGATGCTTTCATTTTTTGTACTTGAGGCTTATAATGAAGTTTGAGTGCTCGGTTTCATGTGTAAAATATGACTATGTTGTCGTAACTTTCAAGTTTCTTGAGCAGCTGCTATGTATGGGATTTTTGTTTCTAATATAATTGTTAGGTCAGGGTTCATGAAATGTATTTTGATTCTTTTAGAATGTGGAATAGTATGCTTTTGTGCTTTCCATAAGTTCTCTTTGTTGTTCATCGAGTCTTCGTATTTGCTTCCTCTTTCTATTGCCATCTTGCTTTCCTATTAGCCTTTACAGAACACTGCTAGTTGTTGCAGTCAAATAAGCATATGGAATACAATCTGCTAGGCATATGTAAATGGTGTGCATTATTTTTCAAATTCACTACAAGGATGTTCTCATTTTACTTATTGTGCTTGTAGTGGATTAGAATAATATTGTTTGCTTGTAAGTGATTAAAGTTGTACTAAATTCTCTGATATGTTTGGATCTGATGCCCCTTTTTTTCTTGCCTAAGTTTGTCCAAGATTTCATAGAAGGATAAGAAGCTGATCTCTTAGAGTGTTCATGTCTTAAACGTTTGTTGAAGTATCATCCCTTGCCGAAATTTTTATCTTTGTTATTTTACAATTTAAGTCTTTTCCATCATACAGGTTCTCTCCTGATTGAAGTAAATAATACTCCCATATGAACTTCTGCTTTATATTACTTCAATAAAGTGTTTGACCTTAGAAGAGGATGCATATTTGTTATAGTATTTTTTTTTTCTCTAAATATTTTGTTTAAGAATAAATAGAACTTGGTTCTGCTACATTACCATCCTTTAAGGTTGCTTCCATTTCAGGTTGTAAATGACTTGTTGAATCCAGCGGGACAGAATCTAAGAATCAGAGAGGACACTCAGGTGCTTGTTTACCATTTTCTTATTCCTGCCTTCGCAATTTGTTATCTTCCATATAGACATTCTCTATGTGTTTAAGCATGTGATTTGAACATTATCTTATTGAAGAGTATTAGAAGTGTGTCACAATACATATAGTTATATTAAATTTGATTAAAACTGATGGTGAAATAATTGAGCTGATATTATATTCAATTTAAACAATAAATTAATAAAATAGCCTGTTCATTTCCTTCACGTTGACATGCTTTGATTTTGTTGAAAGAGAGAGAGAGAAAGAGAATATATGAAAACGTTTATGTTATTGAGTTCAGTAATACAATAATACAATGGTGTTTATATAGGAAAAGCTACGGGAGTAGGTGAGTGGAGAACAAGTAAACCCCTATACATGGTAATTCTATATATGGCAATGAGGGGTACATGACAACTCGCACAATACTAATTGTACACGTGTGACAACTCATACAATACTGTACAACATATTTTAATGGAACCTAATCGCCAGTACATTTGTACTATTTGTCTGTCAAGGTCTTCTTGGCATTGAGATATATATATTTTTATTTGGTAATTGTTACTGGCTGAACTTGGCAAAGCTTTAGCAGAAAATGTGTTGAATATGACACATTCAAGGATACATCAAAAGTTTCTGTCTCTTAACTCTCATGACATACAAGCTGGAGCCTTCAGTTTTTATTTTTTTTTTGTGGGGGGGGGGGGGGGGGGGGGGGTGGTGTTCTGGTGTCAACTGTTCTGGAAATAAACTTAATCCACATAAAAATATAGTGGATTCACAGTAAGGATTGAAAAACTTATTTCAGGAAAAATGACGAAAAAAGATGCGACCATTCAACAAGCTAACATGGTTTGAAAACATTTCAACTGATAGCCAAGCAGATTTTTTATTTTTTTTACCTAAGGTAATAAGCAAGCAGATGTTTCTGAGGCTTTCATTATTCTAAATTTATTGTCTACTTGTTCATTTTAACTATACTGATGACTTTTTATGCATGCCTTGCTAAGACTAGTAGATTTTGTTGAAGCTTTCCTTCAAATTTTATTATAGATTTGTTTGTTTGGAGAAGATAAATAACTTCTTATGTATGGCATTACCAAGACAAACTTTTTGTTGAGACTGTACAAAGTGTACATCAATTGAACCTATACACCCACATCGGACTAGGAAGGTGAAGAGAGTGATGGAGGAATTGTATGTCTTGTTTGGATGATGTAGCTGGCTGTATTGCATAACTCACTTTAAAACACATTATTTATTGCATGATCACTGGTTGTAGGGAACCTTTGTTGAAGGAATAAAGGAGGAGGTTGTATTATCCCCTGCCCATGCCCTTTCTCTTATTGCTGCTGGAGAAGGTAAAATTGTACTGTCATTTTTGTTTTGCTTGTTAATATTTTATCTTTGCATGACCAAGAAATGCATGGGAAATTTCTGATCTTGAGTACAATGAACAAATACCCAACTTCGAAGAGAAAATGAAAAAAATACAAGCAGCGCCACCTTCTCAACTAATCTCATAACTATACGGCTTGCATAAATTCTCTGTTGAAAACTCTGTTTTAAAGTAAATGGCGGATTTATTAATAAGGTCATTCTGATCTGTTGATGAAAGATTTCTTAAAACCTCTCTTTGCATCTCATTCCTTCGTTATTTCCAATCAAGTTTTTTTCCAGTGGTTGTTCTCTTGGTAAATTGGCCAGTTAGGAATTGGAGTACCTTTTGTGATGTTGAAAGAAGTCTGCTTTTGTAATCTAAATAGATGGGATCAGGTTTTGCTACCAATCAAAAGTTTTGGGTCTCTTGGAAGACACTAGGGGGGGCATTTCACTGGGGATGGAATCATTATGTGATTGAGATGTCTTCATATGTGATAAATGAAAAGAATTATTGTTCTTGTTATATTATGCCAATTCTACAAGGGAGATTTAGAATTTTATATGTATTTCATTTGGCAACAATTACTTTGATTCCTAGGTCAGCAAAAGTAGATAGACTGGCTAATAGAGCAATAGCAACTCTTGATTCTCTAAGGATCATCCTCATACATAAATTGTTACTATAGTCATATTGGATATTTTGGTTACAATAGTTTGGTATAAAAAGTTGGGTTTAAATCATAAAACCCCCCTCTAGTTTCCAAAAATGTCATATAACCCCTGTAACTAACAAAAACTATCATGTTGCCCCCATTCCGTGACAGAACTGTTAACTTCATGCGATTTGACAAAAATGACCTTGATAGTACAATATTATTTTATAAAACTGAATGTGTAATTTTGAAATACCAAACATGCCCTTCGTGTGAAATGGGAAAAATATACGCAATACTAAAATTAAAACGACGTCGCACAAAACCAAGACTCACACATATTTCTCTCTCCAACCCTTGAATGCAGATCTGTGCAGAGGGGTCTAACCATTCTGATCCCTACCTATCAGACCTAGAGACCCAAAGCATCTTAACATTATAACTTTTTCATAGTTTGCTCATTTCTACCCTTGAAAGGTAATTGCTACATATCACACATACATACACATGAAGATTAATAGGTTTCCGAGTAAATTTTTTTTTGGCAAGAATGTCACATACTGTAATACCCTCTACCAAAGATTTAATTATTCAATATTTGAGACTGACTGCAACCTGTTAAGGGATAAATTGTATCAGTAAAAATAAATCCTCACAACTTCAAAAAAAACATTCTGGTCGCTTCCCTTCATGATATCATAGTTTCATTTTATCTACCATAAGAAAGTAACAGTACCTACTTAAAGTGTTATTACAATTGGTCTAATCCTTTTCCTTTTTCTTTTGAGCAATTCTGAATTCTGTACTGGCTTCTGTACTCTTCTAATTATCCTTCTCAAGCCTATCAACAACCTTGGTTTCGAGTTCACGCTGGTTCATTTTGACTCTTGCAACATAGTTGGCCAACCTGTTTTCTTCTCTATAGTAATGTTCAATATGACAATTAAAGTTGAAGAAGTTAGGGTTTGTAGAAGTAGAGAAGAAGAGAAAAAAGATGAGAGAAAGAGAGGAGTATTCTGTTTGTGACAGTTGGTGATCTTTGTGGTGGGTTCATTTGGGTGGATGCCGATGAAGCTTTGGATGCTGAAAGAGTCCGAATCACTGTCTCTGATGGGAAGGTTTGTCCTCCGTTTGTGTTCATACATGATGACCAGTTCTGCTATAAGGTGTTTGTTTGGGAGGAGAAGCATCCTGAGCTTGTTCCGACGACTGATAGCCTGGAAGGCGGGGATGGTTCGCACTTGCTTAAGGAGAAAGTATGGTTGAGGTGGGAATCCATGGGGAAAAAAGGTATGGTTGAGTTCCAGGCATGGAAGGAATGGAGTGAAGACTTATGGATTCGCAATTCGGAGTGTTTTAGAAGGATTTACAATCAGAATCGCAAGGATTGGCTTTCCTTTTTGTCGGATCGCCGATGGCAGGAAGCGTCTCGGAAGTTGCAGTGGGGTGGAGGTCTCGCCTGAAATAGTCGTAGACCTTTTGCTCAGCAGCGAGATCAAACAAGACGACAAGGTGGCTTCCACGCTCAGCAGGCGCGTGGGAGGGGGAGGGTTCCAGCTTTTCCACGTGGTTGGCGCTCAGGCTTTGCCCGTTCCCAATGGAGAACAACTGTTCCCACGATCTATTCAAATTCGGCTCCCCACTTAGATGGGCTTTATGGTGGTCTTGAGAATGGGGCCCTTGTTTCTAATAATGTTTTGCCTGGGTCTGTTGGGCTGCTTGTTGGGCCTAATAGGCCTACTGCTAAAAGGCCTCTGTCAGATTCTTTGGAATTAGATTGTGGTGGGCAAGTCTCTTGTGAGGTGGTTGGTGGGCCGAGCGCCCATTCTTCTAGAGATGATTCTGTTGGTGGACTTTCGGGGTTGAAGAGTGGGCCGAGTTGTGGATCTGGGTTTCTGTGTAATAGGTTTGAGCCCTTGGTATCAATGAGTGATGACAGAGATTCCTGTGCTGCCGGGTTGTTATCTGCGAAAGTCAAGGTTGATCGACGAGTGAAGGATCCGGTACTGAGACGTCGGTTGCCCAAAAAGAAAATTATTCTTCCCGCTCTTCGCAAAAAGTGGTCAAGGAAAGATAAACAGAAATGGGTGGCATCTTCGCAGTCGGGGTTCGATCCGGGTATGTTTTCAGTTTCAGTTCCCTCTGACTCCTCTCCTCCGAAGTTGTGCTCTCTTTCTACTTCTTCTCCTTCTTTGGGGGGGTCGATGACTTCACTGGATCGGGTGATGGGTGGGACTGTCATGGTTTCTCAATCCTTGGCACCGGTGATTGAGAAGGACTCGGTTTTGGCTGGAAGACATGTTGGTGATTCTGGTTATAGGCTTGGTTTCTCTCGGCGAAGTGAAGGTATGGGTGAGGGAATTACGGTTTGTATTGGTCAGGATGTGAAGGTAAAGTTGGATGATGAAACATCCTCTGTTCTATTGAAGGAGTTACGGGACCACTTGGCTTTAAAAGGCTTTCTTTCTGATTCAGGAGATGTTTTGACAGAGGAGGAGCCTGTTCCACAGTATTGTTCGCATTCTTCTTCAGTTCTTGATGATTGGGAGGGAGCTGCAGGTTCATCCCTTGATGGGTATTCGGGCATAATTCCATGGGAAGATTTGGAACAAGCAGTGAATTTGGCTGTCCCTTTGGCTGTTGTTCCACCAGGGGAGAATTGGGTTAGTGACTCGACTGAGGTTGGAGTGAATGACCTTGAGGAGGAGTGGGTGAGGGAGAAGGGCTTGGAAGTGGGCCCTTTGTTGGGTGTTTCTTTTGAAGGCAGGGTGGATGAGGCGATGTGTTTGTTTAATGATGTCCTTAGTTCTCATTTTAAGGTAAAGGTGAGTGATAAGGTGGGGCGGCAGGAGGAGAGAGGGGAGACAATGTTGCAAAGTCCCAATGATGTTATCACATGCGAAAGGAGGAATAGGGGGTCCATATCTGGAGGGAGAGGTGGTGGAAGGAGGGGATGATTTGCTTTTCCAAGTGTTTCCCTATGAAGCTACAAATTCTCTCATGGAATGTCCGGGGTCTCAATGATCCGGTTAGAAGGAAAGTGGTGAAGTCGGTTATTCGTAGAAGTAGGGGTCATGTGGTGTGTCTCCAGGAGACTAAACTGGCTTCGATGTCTGATAGGATTGTGAGGAGTCTTTGGGGGGGGGGCGATTTGTGGAGTGGGTTGCTTTGGATGCTATTGGCTCCTCAGGGGGCATTTTGATCTTGTGGGACAACAGATGGGTGTCTAAAGTGGATGCTAAGGTTGGGCGTTTCTCTATTTCTTTCATTCTTGCTTTAGTTGAGGATGGAGTTCATTGGATTTTTTCGGGTGTTTATGGTCCTTCAGAGGACGGTAAGCGCCACTTGCTTTGGGAGGAATTGGGGGAGATTCGAAGTCAATGGTGTTCTCCGTTTGAGAGGTCAACGGGAGGTAGGTGGACGTCTGATATGGAGGCTTTCTCAGAGTTTATTGATGAGTTTGGGCTGATTGATTTGCCCTTGGTTGGAGGTCCGTTTACTTGGTCAAGTGGCCGCTCTCCCCCTACCCTCTCTCGGATTGACAGATTCTTGGTGTCAGGGGAGTGGGAGGAGAGGTTCTCTGATGTTGTCCAGACTACTTTAGCACGTCCTATCTCTGACCATGTTCCGTTGATGTTAGATTGTGGGGGACTGTGTAGTAGACGTTCTCCTTTCAGATTCGAGAATATGTGGCTGCGGGTTGAGGGCTTTCTGGAGAGGGTCCGTCTTTGGTGGGAGGGGTATGGTGTGGCTGGCACCCCTAGTCATGTGCTCGCAGGCAAATTGCGTCTTTTAAAGGTGAACCTTAAGACTTGGAATAAAGAGGTCTTTGGGAATCTGGAATGGAGGAAAAATCGGGTTTTAGCTGAGATTGCGGCTATTGACCGGATGGAGGGTCAAGGGGATTTGGTGGAGGCTTTGAAGATTAGGAGGGCGGAGTGTAAGGCGGAGTTTACTGATATTGCAATCATGGAGGAGATCTCGTGGAGGCAAAAATCTCGAGCCTTGTGGCTTAAGGAGGGAGATAGAAATACTAAATTTTTCCACAGATTGGCCAATGCTCATAGAAGAGGCAATCACATAGGGAGGATTCGGGTTGAAGGGGTTGTTTTTTGTAAGGAAGAAGAGATCTGCAAAGAATTTTCAGAGTTCTTTGAGAAGTTGTTCACAGAGACTGTTGAGTGGAGACCTTTGCTTGAAGGGTTACAGTTTGACTCTATTTCTGAGGAGGAGTGCTTGGGTTTGGAGTTGCCTTTTTCTAAGGAGGAAGTTCTGTTTGCTTTGAAGAGTTGTAATGGGGATAAAGCCCCAGGTCCCGATGGTTT